CTTTACTTCACAGGAAATAACCCAGCCACTTTACTTCTTAGGAAATAATCTTCCCAGTAAATAATACAGCCACTTTACTTCACAGGAAATGATCCAGCCCCCTACTTCCCAGGAAATAATCCAGCCATCTTACTTCCTAGGAAATAATCTTCCCAGAAAATAATCCAGCCCCTTTACTTCACAGGAAATGATCCGGCCACCTACTTCCCAGGAAATAATCCAGCCCCCTTACTTCCTAGGAAATAATCTACCCAGTAAATAATCCAGCCACTTTACTTCCAAGGAAATAATGCAGCCACTTTACTTCCCAGGAAATAATGCAGCAACTTTACTTCCCAGGAAATAATCCAGCCACCTTACTTCACAGGAAATGATCCAGCCACTTTACTTCCCAGGAAATAATCCAGCCACTTTACTTCACAGGAAATGATCCAGCCACCTACTTCCCAGGAAATAATCCAGCCACTTTACTTCCCAGGAAATGATCCAGCCACCTTCCTTTCCAATAAATCATCTTGCCACGTTCCTACCCATTAGATTATATAACCACCTTCCTTTCCAGTAGATAATCTAGTCACCTTCCTTCCGGACAGAAATCACTGCTAGCTTCCTTTCTAGTAGATAATCCAACCGACTTCAATACAGCCACCATCAATCCCATAAAAAAATGACTGGATTATTTGCACAAGATTTCATGGAAAAGAGTATTTGTAAACCACGATCATGAAGTCACAAGTGTCCCCTTTACTGTAGTGGTCGATTTATGTAGAGAATAAGTGGTGTGATAGTGGAATGGATCAGTGGTCGATTTATGTAGAGGTTAGTGGTGTGATAGTGGAATGGATCAGTGATAGATTAATAGGCTACTCTACAAGTTATAACACAGCTGATTTTTTATTGGGTTTTTTCCGTACAATTACTATACTTATTTTTGTGACACAAATAGTTTATTCCGATATTGCTTTTAATCATTTATAGATAATTTCATCACGTCGTATTGAATAAATCTATTATTTCTTTTAATCATTTATCGACATATTCAGCACAATTGTATTGAATAAATATATTATTTCTTTTAAAAGTTCATGGATAAATTCAACACATTTGTATTGAATAAATTTCAACTAAGTTTTAATTTACTCAGTTTTGTTTTATTCTTTGTCCTGCCTCTTTAATTTCCAGTTAGCTATGTACAGCTTCATATTATAATTAGACTTATTCTGTGGTCGACATTTTACAATTAAAAAAATGTGTGTCCTCAATTTATCCATTGCCACAATCGTATTGTGAACTTCTAAAATTATTAACAAATTGAGCGTAGGCTCATAAGATGATCAAGTGGACATTTGACCCTTTAACCATAAAACATGTACTTCGATGTATTGTCAAACAAAATTTGAATAAAACAAAGTTTTAACCAATCAACCATGACCGATGACAAACAAGATTTAATCAGTTGAAGAACTTTATGTTACCATATATGGTATAAATATGAAGTTGATATTTCAAGGGTTCAGAAGATATCTTGTACACGAGCCTTTTCTTGCGGACGCACACATGGATGGGCGCACTGACAAAGCGGTTACTAGATACCATTTTACTGTCGGAAGTGGCTCAAATAACAATACGAACAATAAGAACGGTTCATATGGGATTCCCTAGAATGAGTTAGGTTGGCCAGAAGCAAAAAAATATTGACCATAAGAAAAAAATATCAAATTTAGTAGTCCTAAGACATTTATTATGTAAAATTAAGATAACTCAGGCGTTAATTTGGGGATTTTAAGCCTGACCAGAGTCAAGTTAACAGTGTTTATTTGAATGCAGACAACTCAATTAAAAACCAAGAAGCATACCATCAGTTGATATGCCATTGTTCTCTTGTTGCATAGTTAACTACAACCTTTACAGGTTACAATGTATTGGCTATCCTGTTTTATTTATTTACGTGTAGTCAAATAGCAAATGAAGAACACAAAATCTTATACAGTCAACCATCCCTGATATAACATATCCGATACGAAATATGAGAAATGCAAATATTACTTCTTCCCAAACGCGGTTGTTTACCTGTACTGTATCTGTTAGAAATTATTTATATGAACTATGTATTGCCCATACATACAGACCATGTGGATTTCTAGTTGATAAATATGAAACTAATATGAAGAAAAAAATCTTTCGTAAAAATTAATGAATTTCTTCATACTGTTGAACATCTCTTGGCCGAATATTTTTTTCATTCGTATAGAATTCTAGTATGTTAGAGAAGTTATGTCGTATGTAAAATATCGTGGTAAGATGACTATGTTTATTATTGAATAAATACAAATTCAATACTATATTTTGATTTAATGCTATATACATGTCTATTTCAGTTTTATACAGAGAAGGCGGAAAAATGTTGTTGTTTTTTTGAGGATAATTGACGATTTCTATAAAAGCTTTTTGTCTGCCACTTGTCAGGATAAAAATGTGATACCAATGAATCGCTGGGCTTCCTACTCGAGATATGCTGAAATACTTGGATTTTTTCTTTGTCTGCAAAATACAAAAAAAATACAACATAAATAGGTATTTCACCTGAGTTAGAAAAATGCCACATAGTCGGAATCGAACAGTCCAAATGTTAGACATTTTTAATTTTGAGGTATACCTAGCAAAGCAAATTCAGGGGTCATCTCGAAAACTGTTTCATTCAATCTCGTATAGGATATGTTACAGTGTGTACACAAACTTGCACCCATCATATGGAGGCACGATATGTCCGCAACGCCTGATACAAAATGTGACTATTGTCCACAGTCATTATAATAAGTTGGCTCACTGCAAGTATTGTACAAACGCCAAATGTACTCCGCTAAGGATTTCACTGGGAACCTCTGTTGTTATTCGGACACCGAGTGAGCTGAATAGAAATTCCCCGTACCAAAACATCAAACGAAGAAGCTGGTATTTAACCAGCATGACAATGATGATACATAGAAAAAATAACCATTACTGTTTCTAAACATTTTCTTCAGGTTGATAAGTATTGGTAATGAAAAAGTTCTTGTATTCTTAAAAAGAACGCTTACAGTGTTTATTAAAGGTGTTGTGACTCCAAGTAAATAATAGAATGATTGGATGAAGGGTTATCACTCATCAGGAATCTGACAGCCTTGCTAGAGAACATTATTTCACAAATTGTTATCGAATACTTTTTATTGATTTATGAGAGTAGCATAATTAGGAATTAATTGAATAAATTACCTGCATGTATTTGTTATATTAAAAAAATGATAAAAATGATTAAAATTTGGTAAGGGGATATAGTGAAAGATTATTCCATGTCCTGCATTTAGATAAATGTCCTCTTATCAGTTACCCTATGTCATCACACGATATACAACACCCAGCCTAAGCTACTAGCCATATTAACCATGGTTACACAACACCCAGCCTAAGCTACTAGCCATATTAACCATGGTTATACAACACCCAGCCTAAGCTACTAGCCATATTAACCATGGTTACACAACACCCAGCCTAAGCTACTGGCCATATATACCATGGTTATACAACACCCAGCCTAAGCTACTAGCCATATACAACACCCAGCCTAAGCTACTAGCCATATTTACCATGGTTACACAACACCCAGCCTAAGCTACTAGCCATATATACCATGGTTATACAACCCCCAGCCTAAGCTACTAGCCATATTAACCATGGTTATACAACACCCAGCCTAAGCTACTAGCCATATATACCATGTTTATACAACACCCAGCCTAAGCTACTACCCATATATACCATGGTTATACACCCCCCAGCCTAAGCTACTAGCCATATACAACCCCCAGCCTAAGCTACTAGCCATACATACCATGGTTATACAACACCCAGCAGCCTAAGCTACTAGCCATACATACCATGGTTATACAACACCCAGCAGCCTAAGCTACTAGCCATACATACCATGGTTAACCAACACCCAGTCTAAGCTACTAGCCATACATACCATGGTTACACAACACCCAGCCTAAGTTACTAGCCTGGTATTTACCATATGGATTGGTTACTTTTGTCCCGCATTCATTATCACTATGTTCAAGAAGATGCCAAATACGATAAAGAATTAAATTCTATCTTAGGAGAGGGACCCGCTTCTTTAACCCACCCTACCCACATACCATCGGCGCTTCAAGCCCCCATTTGTACACAACTCCCTACACCTGCTGCAAGTATAGAGTCGTGATCGACTCTGGTAGACTACAACCTGAAGCTTTTATGTAAGTGTAATGAAATATAGGTTGGGAGTAATCCACACATACTGTTACATCTGTGCTATTTTTTTTAGATCGAACTGATAACCTTTGTTAAGTAAACAAGATGAAATATACCCGAGGATGACACAATCAAACGCTTTCATTATATGCCTGTGACGTCTGTTCTATTTATAAACAATTGTGTCATAAACTTTGAAACCCTATTAACTAGATGAAATTGTGTATGTAGATTGTAAGCTTATCAAGCTTGAAAACAGATTTAATAAATTTAACATCAGTGATGTTTTCTTTAAAAATACTAAACCTCCATCTTGACATAAAACTTCCCGTGCGGTGCACATACATTGAACATGAATCATATTAGGAATTAACTAGACTAAATACAAACATTTTAGTGTAATTCGTGTAAAGTTGATAATACTGACAGATTAATAAGTCTTTTGTATTACTTCACCTTCGCATTGTTAGCATACCAATCATGATAAAAGTTTTGCACTGCGTATTTATTGATGACATCTTGAAATTTAAACATAATATATATATTGCAACATATTATATTAAGATGATTATTTGAAACGTGAATATCGTTCGTGTGAAACTTCAAAACGTCCAGGTATCCCTGGTACATGTTACTTTTAATGAAGATACACACATCAGCGTGTTGTATGAAAACTTTCACCGCAGCTATTTATACATGTGTATGAAAAACAGAATGCAGTATATATAAACAACTTATATAGGTACAGTGGCCCATTTGTGAATATTTACGGCGACAGAGGCAGAACAAGTTTTAAAGGTAAGTATTTTTCATTCAGATATCTGAATATGTTGAAACAAAGGAATATTAATTTGAATATATTTTTACAATATATAAAGTATATCGGTGTGTATCATCATGAGCCACAGCAATATCGACAGCTCTCATCTGAGATTCCCTTGCCAGCACTTCATAAACACAGTATAGTTTTTTCTGAAACCTGTAAATACAGTTGGTAGGAGTCATTCTCTTTCCACTGATGTTATTCTATACTTAGTATCTGTATAAGCACATGTACCGGTGGTAACAAACATATCATACTGTAAGGTAATATAACGACCCAGGCGTTGTGTCTCAGTCCTTCAATGAAAACCATCTCTCTAGCATCTATGATATGAAGCCCTGCTGCTCGACTAACCAGTATGTCTCTACCCTCGGCTACCAGTATGTTTTTCCCTCGACTAATCAGTATGTCTTTCCCCTCGGCTAACCAGTATGTCTCTTCCCTCGACTAAACAGTATGTCTTTCCCCTCGACTAACCAGTTTGTCTCTTCTTCCCTCGACTAACCAGTATGTCTTTCCCCTCGGCTAACCAGTATGTCTCTTCCCTCGGCTAAACAGTATGACTCTTCCCTCGACTAACCAGTATGTCTCTTCCCTCGGCTAACCAGTATGTCTTTTTCCTCGACTAACCAGTATGTCTCTTCCCTTGACTAACCAGTATGTCTTTTTCCTCGACTAACCAATATGTCTTTCCCCTCGACTAACCAGTATGTCTCTTCCCTCGGCTAACCAGTATGTCTCTTCCCTCGGCTAACCAGTATGTCTCTTTCCTCGGCTAACCAGTATGTCTCTTCCCTCGGCTAAACAGTATGACTCTTCCCTCGACTTACCAGTAAGACTCTTCCCTCGGCTAACCAGTATGTCTCTTTCCTCGGCTAACCAGTATGTCTCTTCCCTTGACTAACAAGTATGTCTTTTTCCTCGACTAACCAATATGTCTTTCCCCTCGGCTAACCAGTATGTCTTTCCCCTCGGCTAGCCAGTATGTCTCTTCCCTCGGCTAAACAGTATTACTCTTCCCTCGACTAACCAGTATGTCTCTTCCCTCGGCTAACCAGTATGGCTCTTCCCTCGGCTAACCAGTATGTCTCTTCCCTTGCCTAACCAGTATGTCTTTCCCCTCGGCTAGCCAGTATGTCTCTTCCCTCGGCTAACCAGTAGGTCTCTTCCCTTGACTAACCAGTATGTCTTTCACCTCGGCTAACCAGTATGTCTTTCCCCTCGGCTAACCAGTATGTCTCTTCCCTTGTTTAACCAGTATGTCTTTTTCCTCGACTAACCAGTATGTTTTTCCCCTCGGCTAATCAGTATGTCTCTTCCCTCGGCGAAACAGTATGACTCTTCCCTCGACTAACCAGTATGTCTCTTTCCTCGGCTAACCAGTATGTCTCTTCCCTCGGCTAAGCAGTATGTCTCTTCCCTTGACTTACCAGTATGTCTTTCCTCTCGGCTAACCAGTATGTCTCTTCCCTTGACTAACCAGTATGTCTTTTTCCTCGACTAACCAGTATGTCTTTCCACTCGGCTAACCAGTATGTCTCTTCCCTCGGCTAACCAGTATGTCTCTTCCCTCGGCGAAACAGTATGTCTTTTTCCTCGACTAACCAGTATGACTCTTCCCTCGACTAACCAGTATGTCTCTTTCCTCGGCTTACCATTATGTCTTTCCCCTCGGCTTACCAGTATGTCTTTCCCCTCGGCTTACCAGTATGTCTTTTTCCTCGACTAACCAATAAGACTGCCCCTATGAGCAAACCTGTTTCTTTTTTGTTCTTATTTACTATGTAATCAAAGATGAAACGTCATCATTATAGCCCCAAATTATTCTCTACCCCTCAGAAAATTTGTTTTACATTCGGATCTAGCCCGGAACATTTTGTATTATGAACAGGTTTTCTCAAAATTAACCCGTCAAAGTTATTCTGGCATATGCACTTTGACGTTGACAATGCACCTATGTATAGGTTTAAATATACCAATTGATTAATTAAAACAACCTTTGGTAACGCTCACTTTCTTTATAACAAACCTTAACAACCTTTGATCACGCTCACTTTCTTTGTAACAAACCTTAACAACCTTTGGTAACGCTCACTTTCTTTGTAACAAACCTTAACAACCTTTGGTAACGCTCACTTTCTTTGTAACAAACCTTAACAACCTTTGGTAACGCTCACTTTCTTTGTAACAAACCTTAACAACCTTTGGTAACGCTCACTTTCTTTGTAACAAACCTTAACAACCTTTGGTAACGCTCACTTTCTTTGTAACAAACCTTAACAACCTTTGGTAACGCTCACTTTCTTTGTAACAAACCTTAACAACCTTTGGTAACGCTCACTTTCTTTGTAACAAACCTTAACAACCTTTGGTAACGCTCACTTTCTTTGTAACAAACCTTAACAACCTTTGGTAACGCTCACTTTCTTTGTAACAAACCTTAACAACCTTTGGTAACGCTCACTTTCTTTGTAACAAACCTTAACAACCTTTGGTAACGCTCACTTTCTTTGTAACAAACCTTAACAACCTTTGGTAACGCTCACTTTCTTTGTAACAAACCTTAACAACCTTTGGTAACGCTCACTTTCTTTGTAACAAACCTTAACAACCTTTGGTAACGCTCACTTTCTTTGTAACAAACCTTAACAACCTTTGGTAACGCTCACTTTCTTTGTAACAAACCTTAACAACCTTTGGTAACGCTCACTTTCTTTGTAACAAACCTTAACAACCTTTGGTAACGCTCACTTTCTTTGTAACAAACCTTAACAACCTTTGGTAACGCTCACTTTCTTTGTAACAAACCTTAACAACCTTTGGTAACGCTCACTTTCTTTGTAACAAACCTTAACAACCTTTGGTAACGCTCACTTTCTTTGTAACAAACCTTAACAACCTTTGGTAACGCTCACTTTCTTTGTAACAAACCTTAACAACCTTTGGTAACGCTCACTTTCTTTGTAACAAACCTTAACAACCTTTGGTAACGCTCACTTTCTTTGTAACAAACCTTAACAACCTTTGGTAACGCTCACTTTCTTTGTAACAAACCTTAACAACCTTTGGTAACGCTCACTTTCTTTGTAACAAACCTTAACAACCTTTGGTAACGCTCACTTTCTTTGTAACAAACCTTAACAACCTTTGGTAACGCTCACTTTCTTTGTAACAAACCTTAACAACCTTTGGTAACGCTCACTTTCTTTGTAACAAACCTTAACAACCTTTGGTAACGCTCACTTTCTTTGTAACAAACCTTAACAACCTTTGGTAACGCTCACTTTCTTTGTAACAAACCTTAACAACCTTTGGTAACGCTCACTTTCTTTGTAACAAACCTTAACAACCTTTGGTAACGCTCACTTTCTTTGTAACAAACCTTAACAACCTTTGGTAACGCTCACTTTCTTTGTAACAAACCTTAACAACCTTTGGTAACGCTCACTTTCTTTGTAACAAACCTTAACAACCTTTGGTAACGCTCACTTTCTTTGTAACAAACCTTAACAACCTTTGGTAACGCTCACTTTCTTTGTAACAAACCTTAACAACCTTTGGTAACGCTCACTTTCTTTGTAACAAACCTTAACAACCTTTGGTAACGCTCACTTTCTTTGTAACAAACCTTAACAACCTTTGGTAACGCTCACTTTCTTTGTAACAAACCTTAACAACCTTTGGTAACGCTCACTTTCTTTGTAACAAACCTTAACAACCTTTGGTAACGCTCACTTTCTTTGTAACAAACCTTAACAACCTTTGGTAACGCTCACTTTCTTTGTAACAAACCTTAACAACCTTTGGTAACGCTCACTTTCTTTGTAACAAACCTTAACAACCTTTGGTAACGCTCACTTTCTTTGTAACAAACCTTAACAACCTTTGGTAACGCTCACTTTCTTTGTAACAAACCTTAACAACCTTTAGTAACGCTCACTTTCTTTGTAACAAACCTTAACAACCTTTAATTTTAATACACCAGCTTTAGGTTTGTTGATGTCATTTCTGGACTTTGGCCTAGTAAAAGGTACGAAACTTGATCTGAGGGGTTTTAAAATTGAGTAAAATCTTCATCTTGTTGAGAATTTGCCGGAACGTCCTTAAAATGTGTTTTAACTTGAACCCATTTGAATTATCAACTTTTGGCATTCTCTGCTCACAGTTATCAATCCTGTGCCACATATTTAATTCCATTAATCCAGTCAAAGTATGTTGTTACTTACAATATATAATTTTTGTTTGTCGTTCCATTTGTACTCCCTATATATATAGTGAATATTACTAAGATATTTTTCCGTTTTGCCATAGATCGCAAGCTAGCTAAAATGTAATAGGTTATATATTCTGATTTATTTTATATATCTTGTTTAATTATCTTTTTAAAAACAGCCCCCAAAAGCTGATACTTTAAAATACGATACTTACTTTGCCAAGATTACGGATATTTAGCCGATGATATATTATAAGTCCTATTTCTTTCTTGCTACATTGATGCTTCGTTATTTTCTTTCTATTTTAAGATTTGCTTTACTTTTCTTTTTCTGAGGATATATGTTTTAAGAATATTTAATTATTTCAGAGACATATATACTAGAATGTGTTATCGTGAGTGTTTTCTTTCTCTTGGCAATTTTTACCGTTTTAATATCACGTTTTTCAGTTTCAACAATAAAGCTTACCTATGGAGAATGCGACATATGTGTCCTCCTCAAAAGACAAAGAAGGTGTTGAATGGAGTGCCAATTTTGAATTCTATCCATTTTTTGTTGGATTACACATGATCATATACAAGGGCTTAATGTTCGTACCCGGAATATTTTTCAGCAAAAAGAAAGCTGTTATCAAAGTTCCAAGAGAAAGTATCCCAATCTCAGGAAATGAATGTACGTCGGACAATCTGCCACAAGAAATAAGCCTATCGCTGAAAGCTGAACAATTTACAGACATCTACCTTCAAAGTTCAGATATAAAAGATTATACTGACAAGAAGCCTGGCTTTCGCCTACAATTTACAAGGCCTTTGGCTACCTCGATGGAGTCTGTCTCTGGAATGAACAACTTATGTCGTGTGTTTTCAAGAACTCCTAAACGGTTACAGAAGGGGGAATGGATACTCATAGAAGAAAGTTTGAAAGGTGAATTCCATACGTTTATTGACAGTCAAGGAAAAAGCCATAACGCTGACCCTTTACTTGTGGCCTTGTGTCACTTTTCGTACGAAAATAGTGATAATGAGCTCGTCATGTGTAACATCAAGGGAGTAAAGGGAGAAAACTCAATCTCCTTATCAGTTCCTATTATTCATTCCATTGACAAAAGATATGGATCACGTGATGAAGGATCAGAAGGGATAAAAAGATTCTTTGCTAACCACAAATGTAACTCTCTTTGTAACAACTTTGCTGGCTATTCACACAGTGCAACATTTAGAAAATCTGTGTCCTAATTTGTACAACTGAGTTGTATACAGTGATAGTGAACATTTTACTATGTCATACGGCCATGTCATAACTATGATATTACACACGTGTAATAAAAACCGTGGGAACATATTCCTACGCCACTACAAAATTGTGCACTTCATGAACTGATCTTTTTCTGATAAAATTTAATGCTTTTTATAAATTTGAAATGTCTATTTTGTCGTTTTTATTTCATTGCATTTAATACTGTTCATTATTAAACAAAAAATCTGGAACTACTTTGCAATGCGCGGAAAGACAATACTATGGTCTGAGTACTTCGGTTTTGACCTTTAGATAGTCAGCCGGTGATAACACCTTATTGTGTTTGAAATTACTTTTCAGATTACGAATGTTATGTGATAAATAGAATCTTACATTTGTGTCCATGTCATATTGAATTTATTAAAGTCGTTTAATGATTTGATATGGCACTCGCCAAAAGGGTCGTGTCATATAAAATGATTGAACTCGTTAAATAAATTCAATATGACATGGACACAAATGTAAGATTCTCTATATATTCCAACTGATCTTCTGTCATTTCTTGAAGCTATTCTCCTGATTACTGTTTGTTATGTGTTTAATGTCACCTGCAATGAGATAATCGTTCACATGTGAAATAATTGGAAATATGAATTTAGATAATTTATGTAATATATTATTTGTACAATATGTAACTACTACTGTGTGATATAATGTGTCAATCATATGTCCCATTTGCTTTATTTAGATGTATATTTCGGAGCACTTTCTTATATGGAATTTCATTCTTTTGACCATAGTACCATTGATCAGTCTTGAATGGATAAAATGTCAAGATGCTATAAGCGCTTTCTTACTTCGTAATTTCTGGGGATTATTTTTATGCTATAACGAGTCAAGTTTAATAAATTGTTCAATATGTTATAAAAATCAAACAGTATTTTTAAAAATCAATAATATCAGAGCCATACTACACGGTATAAAATACAGAACACAGGGCCACACCCTTTAATAACTCAAGGTATATAATCTGATAACATTATCTAAAGAATAATAATAATGCAACATATGATAAAGTGCCCTTTTGAGCTAGAATAAGCCACCCTAAAGCGCTTTACAGTACATAGATATAAAATGTATACAATCAATACAATTAGCTTATACATTAATCAATACAATTTTGAGGAATTCGCAGGAGCTGCCTTATCAGGCGCTAACTACTAGTCCTATGCCAACTGGCTAATATCTCCCTATATGTATATGCCTGCGTGTGTCGGAGATGTTTTGTGTTCTGTTTGTAGTGGGACCGTGCTTCCAGCGGTATCATTTATAGCACCATCTCACTTGAATGCTACAGCACAGATACCGCAACATCCACCCCAGACCATTTTATACTCCACCTGGGTTGTTGGAGTTGTGTGGGCAGGCGAAAAACACTTTCTCTGAATATACTATGCGTACGAAGAATTCTGGGATCGAACCCCGGCCGCCTGCATGGAATGCTGGAGTGTTAATCACTCGACAAATCCACCCATCTAAAGAATCGAAGTACTTCTGCTAGTACTTCCTTTAATGAGAATGTTTTGTCAAGATCCTGGGGAGCGATACAGGCCTTCTGGGCCTTTTGTTAGAAACCATGGTATATATTTCTCTACATCTACGTAGTTAATCATTGTAAAGGATATTTATTTTTTAACTTTGTTTTCATGCTCTCTAGGACGTGTAACACTACAGCGAACTAACAAACAGTAGGTCATTTGGCCTGCCAAACTCGATCTGTTTGTTGACGAGGTGAATATTTGAAATAGCATCGTAGCATCGTACTATTGTCGACTGTTTTATGCGATAAATTTTAGATCAGCGAGGTTCTTAAATTGTTTCGTCAGTGTGCATGCAGCGTTGGGCGGTTCTTAACACGATCAAACTATGGTCCTATAGCATATCAGAATAACTTAATTCGTTTACAATAAAAAGCTTTGCAAGCGAATTGGGTAAACTAATTAGAACATATATAAATTATATGTATATATAGATGATATTCTGAATATAATATATAACGTAAATCAAATAAAGACATTTCATGAAGATTTTATCAACTAATATAAAAAAAAATCAAAAACAAACTCATCAACTTGAGCATTGGGTGATGAAACTACCATATTATAGAAATATAATCATTGACTCGAAATATATTATCATTATAAACACAACAATTGAAAATGACGTCAAAATGATTAAGAAAAGTATACATTGATGTAATTGTTTTTATGTTTGAAAACAACGAACTGATGGAAGAAAATTTCCTTATTGATATAAACCAAACTCACGTGACCTGACTGTAATATCGACACACATCACTTATCATAGAATTATTCGCTATGTCTTGTGAAATGGTATATGTGCCCCGTCTCGTGAAAAGTAAATATTTATACAATTATCTTGTAAATTGTGAATCTAATCCAGTAAAGTGTGCTCAGTGTTCACCACAGTAGTAATCTGAATTAAAGTAAGCAGTGCTCAGATATTCATCGAATGAAATATTCGCCCTTGTTTTGGAAGAACAAAAGATAACTTTCCGGTCTGTACTTTACACAATCCAAGATGGCGGCCATCACCAGCTGAATACACACGCTATTTCAGCGTTATCAAATGCAATCATATTTGAGTAAATTAATTTATAATAGCTGTATCAAGTGTTTGTTTTGTTTATCCTACAGTAGTTACTTCAATTAATCACCTATTGACCATGTTAAAAGGAGCTGGTGGTAATTGATTTAGGCTCCAATGAGCACGATTGCCGGACACCTGTGGGAGCCGTATCAGCTAAATGGCCTGGGGAGAACCCTGCTTATATGAACCATTACCGGTAGAAGTAAATGTCTTTTTTAGGGGTTAATTTCATTTTGTTATTTGGAGGCTGCTGATATTATCACGTCGACCTGCCCGAAGGCCAAGTGAGCTTATGCCATGGCGCAGCGTCCGTCGTCCGTCCGTCAACTTTTCCTTTAAAACACTACTAGTCCTGAACGGCCCAGTAGAATTTGACTAAATTTGGTCTGAAGCATCCTTGGGCAAAGGACACTCGATTTTGTATAAACGGTGGGTGTGGCCCCACTGGGGGCAGAAGGGTGGGGCCAAATCATAGGGATTAAGGGATTTTATCCTTATTTAGTCTGGAGCATCCTTGGTCCAAGGGGACTCAATTTTGTATAAACGGTGGGTGTACCCCCCCCCC